CACCTGCGTCTTCCTGTCGGTAGAACCCTCACTTTCCCTTGGATTCGAAAGTGTTTATCCCTCCACTCTACAAGAGTGACATCTTTCTATTCGTCGCTCGGTCAGCGTTGTCGACGCTAACTAAGAAAACACACACTCACATGTTTTAAATGGCACTGAGACTGACGTCTTTTCATTGGTCGGCCGGTTAGCGCGGTCGATGCTAATAATAAAAACACACACACGCCCGACGGAATTTTTCCTCGCAGCGACATGGAGAGCGTGGACGCGCTGATCAGGGGCATCCAGGAGTACAAGGGCGGGGTCGTCCTCGTCTCCCACGACGCGAGGCTCATCGCCGCCACAGAGTGCGAGCTTTGGGTGTGCGAAGGCGGCGGGCGGGTGAGAAGAGAAAAGAAGAGAACGAAAAGTATTCATGGGAAAAATGTAAACTGAGAAGAGAAGAGAAGAGAGAAGAGAAGAGAAGAGAAGAGAAGAGAACAAAAGAGCCGTGTAGAACCGCCCCCAGCCCTCTGTGCTAATACTTCCAAGTATTATAATGAGGCCGCGGAGCACGAAGCGCGACCTTTTTTCCCGTCATCTCCCAGGAGGGAAAAAGAGGCTCTAAATATCGGCCTGAGTTCCGCCGCGTGTTGCAGGGGCCCAAAGTTTGATTTCCGTGACGCATATTTATCGCACCTTTCGGACCAGAACGAGACCGATAGGGCACCGTTTGACGATATGTTTGACTTCTGAGGAAGAAGAAAAATTACGAGCTCTTCGTCACACTGGGTTGGTCGTGCTTCGGCAACAGATGGCCGTGCTTCACAGGCATGTGCGACCCAAATTCGTAGGAGATCGCATCCCCGGATGCCCAGGAGTTGTGGAGAGGCAAAATGCCCAAGCTATCGGAGATTGCACACACGCACAGACACGCGGTAGAGTTCAAACCCCGAGAGGATAACACCACATCAGCAGAAGGAGAACAACAGGACGTTGATCCGAGACCAGCTATCATATGAAAACCAGGAGGGGCCGGGCCTATACGACCTGTGCGCCGTGGGTATAGTCATGCGCCGTGTGTAACCTGGCGGGTGTAAGAAATGTTCCGTGATGTATGACGACTGCTTGCTTTCACTTGGCGGGAAACTCGGAGGGCTTGAGACGAATGTGGCGGGCATGTTGTGAGCCTGACGCAATGTTTGCCATCTGTCTTATCACGATCCTATGTCTACGCTGCCGGTCGTGCTCCTCGACGGTGTGATGTGTGATACGCTCGCCGCCAGGTACATGCCGCATGCGTGCCTCCCTGGCGTGCGTGTTTGCGTCCGCACAGCGGGAAGACTTCACATTTTGTTTCTTCGTGGGTGTGTGCATGTGCATCTCCGGAAAAGAAACAACCGCATGTAAAGTGCAAAATTTTGAACGGGGCCGCACATACAACCATCGTCGCGCCCGTCGCACCCCTGCAGCCTGTCCCTCTGGTGCACGCGTAGCTGCACCACAAACGATTCACGCTGCTGTGTGTCGGGATTCGTGCACCATCAGCATCGCAGATAAGACTACTGCAAGGTATTGAGTCGCTACCCAGCGGCTCATTACCCCGCCCTATCTAGTATTACCACGTTGTTATGTTTGAGAGCACAGCCATGACACCACCCGCGTGCCCCCCCCCCCCCCCCCCCGGGGGGGGGTGGTGTTCCCCCTTTCCGGGGTG